GGTGTTCATGTATGGAAGTGTGCAAGCAGCCTTCCAGCATGGCATCATGGCACCTCTACGCCGCCCTCGAAGGGATCCACCACCACCAGAGCTGGAACAACCGCAAGCTCAACCTCGCCTCAGGATTGAGGACCGCAATCATTTTGCAGGAGGGGATGCACCTCAACAGCAACATGCCCTAAGGTACAGAGCTGATGACGCCAGATTAAACAGGAATGACTTGCATCAGAGGAGACCCAACAGGCAGAGGGTCGAGACTCTAGGAACTGCTGAGGATGAGCCGGACGCTGAGCGGGCCAAGGAAGTTCCTGAGGCAGACCAGAATCCGTCTGTTGAGCCAGATTCAGAAAACCAGCGGGGAGCAGAAGAACGGCCACCAGCAGCAAAGGATAACAGCGTTGGTCAAAACAAAGCCAAATCGGAGCCAAAAGCTGCTCGGTCAGATTCGTCTGAGTCGAAGAATAAAACTTCAAAAGGGAATGAGAACCTTTCTCAAGATCAACCAGACAGAGATGTTGCAGTGCTCAGACCTGAGCTCCCAGACGTGCAGCCTGTCGATGTGGTGAGCCCCCCCCCCACCCCCTTTTTTTTTTAATTTATTTATTTATTTTTTTAGATTTTTGTTTATATTCATTAGGGCTGCCACAAACAATTATTTTGATAGTCGACTAGTCACCGATTATTTTTGCGATTAGTCAACTAATCAGATCATGCATCCATTGGACGTAAAACCTGCAGCTTATTGCACCAGCATGCATCTGCTCTTAGCTTACAGCTTTAAGTGTTTCAGGTATGTGCTAACTAAAAATAAAGAGAAGATGATAGTTTATTAAATTTTAATGAAATTTGTAGATTGTTTCGGTGGAGTTTAATAAACTCACCGCACTATATTCTCGAGCATCTCACACTTCTGATAATCAGCTGTCTGCTTGACGTTTATTCAGCTGTGTAAAAACTATAACTTTAATCTCAGCCAAACCGATTTACTCAGGAACAAATAAAATACTGAAAAAAGCCAAACGATAACATTTTTAAGTTATCAAAGTGACTTCTATATCATGTTTAACCTGAGTAGCAAAAGTCGGCGGTGGGTTTGAAGACGATTTGCCGGGAGTCCGGTGTTCTCACGGCGCTAGTGACCTAGCCCCCGGCTAGCTATCGAGCTAGTGGGTAACAGACATCTCTGAAAACGTCGGAGTGCTTTTGAAAATATGTGGTGTCTTGATAAACTGAGCAGATATTTGAGGTTTACACAGCTACATTCTCGCCTGAAAATATGTTAAACGTTTATTTTGTGACCCAGAAAGAATAATAAGAGTAACATTAAAACTAACCAGCTGCCGCCATTGTTGGAAACTGCGCTGGGCTGCGCTATGAATTCTGGGTCAGAGCTACTTTTTCTTCTTCGGGGTTTAACGGCAGCTGGCATCCTTGTACATGCAGTGCTGCCATCTTCTGTTTCAGTCCGTTATTACACTCTTAAATCCTACTACTTATTCCTGC